GACGAAAGTACGTAAAGAACTATTAAGTAACTGAAAAAAAAAGAAAAATAACGATGTGTGTGTGTGTGTATGTGTATATATACATACACACACACACACACACATATATATGTATATATATATATATACACACACACACACACTGTTAGAAATTTTAAATGCTGCTCTAACTTATGACCCAGCAGGAAAATGAAAACTGACAGTTCCATTTCCTGGGACTGTGTTTATTTTTAGATCTGTCAGCTGGTCCCATATTCAAAATGGTGACAAATATTATTATCCTATCGTTTACTTCTGATTAGTTTTCAATATAATTACTGACATCTTTCAAGAATTAAAATAACTGAAAAATAATATACTATTTTGTATAAAAAAGTTTTAGGCTATTAATTTTCAATTAATACTAAAATAAGGAAAAACACATTAGATTAGAAGTTGCAAACTAGGATATTTCAGACCATATTTCAGCTTATAATTTCAGCCTAAAGGTTCAGACTTTTTTTTGAACTATAGAACATCTGATAGGCTAGATTCCAGCTTCTTTTGGAAACAATCCAAAGCTCTAGACAATAAGGAGATGATACTCATGCATGGCACCGCTCGCTGGTGAGATGGCACCACCCCCTCCACAGGGATGTGCTCTCTGCGTCCCTGTGCCCACCATTTTACACTACTCGACTTGCTTCCCTTCCCTGGAAAGCCTCCATGAGGCTCTCGCAGGCATCTGAGTTTGTATCTTCTGTGTTGAGAAAAATTCAGTCACCATTCATTTTAATGGAAATTTCAAGAGTAATAATTAGTCTCATGCGAGAAGAAATTTCAACCATAGATTAGTTTAAGCTTTACATTTATTTTCAGCACCATAAGCATTACCTGTTGACAGTGAGAATGCTTAACTTCAAACAATAAAATAATCTTATAATGCCAACTATTAATTTTAGTTTAGAAGAAAACTCAAAATCTATTCAAGTAAAATATCAATCCAGAATGACTGTCTACTTCTAGAATTATAAATCATTCAAAGTCAACTTAAAATTAGAGATCTAAATAGTCACTAAAAATATGACTTCCTACAGTTAATAATTTCCTAAAAGTTAAAATACCTTTCTAGTCTTTGTTGTAATACTGTGAGGTAATCTTTTAGTCTCTTGATCTCTTCCCTCTTAATTCTTGTTATTTCTCTGTTTCTATGCATGTATCTATCAGGAAAAAAAAATTATTAGTAGTGCAAAATATCACGTAAGCAGATACAATATTAAGTCTAGCCATCACCACAGATCAACTCATTCAAAATTTTACAATAA